GAAAGGAGCTAAAGGTGTAGGGAAGGTGTGATGCGTAGGGGAAGAACAAAAAGGGAAAAGAAAAAAATGTGAGAGAATGAAAAGATGAAAATAAAGTGTTTGTAGATGGGGAGGGGAGGAGGGGGTGAAGGGAGGGCAGAGGTAAGGGGAAAAAATGAGAATCAAGACTTGCCATGTAAAGGTACATGATCCCAACAATGAATGTAACTGTACTGTATCCCTAAAATGTACCAATAAACTCAATAAAATTAAAAAAAAAAAAGAATTTTCTTCTCTATTTCTTGCATATTGAATATAAAACAATGAAATTGTTAATCAATTACTCAAAGTACTAGGGAAAAACCATTCACAATCATGTAATAAAAGTACCTATATGATCAACAGAATTTTTCCATCGTAGTATCAAAATGATCATAATGAAAATTCATGGTTTTAAGAAATAATATGGCCCCAAACGAAAGAAATCTTGTGAGCAGATTACACACTCACAAGTAAATCCAATCTACACGAGGATCCTTGATACAATATAGGATAGGGAGAGGGCAATTTAAAAAAGGAATCCTTCATTTTACCAAGGGATTTACACTAGGGTTCTTAAAGGACTTTCCCAAGGCTTTGAAATATAATTTGATGTACAAAAATAGTATTGATGCGCAAAATTGTAAAAGTAACACACCAATTTCATCAAGTTGGGTAAGCCACACACAGTCCATGGCAAACGGGAAGAGGGACTTAATAGACAAACTCATCTTCAATCTCGGGCCAGGGATTCAGCTCAATGGCGCTGCACCTGCTTCGTAAGCACAAGGTCCTGAGCTTGATATCCGGTACCCCCCAAATCACAACCTTAATTCTACAGCACAAAGACTCTAGAGTGTGTTGACATATCTTGAGACTCTCAGTGTTTTAAAAAAACTTTGCTTCAACTGTGTGAGAAGAGGGTAAAAAAGTGTGAAGAAGCCTGGCTGAAACAGTGAGAGAAGTGCCGTTATACCACAAGAAAAATATATCTACAGTCAGGATCTCTGCAAATACGCTAATTTATGCCTTCAAAATCTTTGTATACCAAGTGATTCTGTTTAAACTCAAAAGCAAACCTTCAAAGATTATATTTACTGTAAAAATGAATAACTTTCTACCTCTTATTTAAAAGCTAGGAAGCATACAGCTCAGATACATTTTTAAAACTATTTCATTGGAGTTTTATTTGCACACCATAAAATTCACCTGTTTTAGAGCACTATTCACTAATTTTACCAAACTGTTTGAGTTTTAGAACTACCATCGTAAGCCAGTTTTGGACACTGTCATTACTCCAGTTAGTCCCGCGAGCCCACTCACAGTTAATACACATTCCTTCCTTCAGTACCATCTCATCTGTACACCAAATTTCTCTCTCTACAAATCTTTATTTTATACACATTTCATATAAGTAGAATCATATAATAGGTGCCTTTTGTGTATGGTTTCTTTTTACTTAGCATATTTAAAAATACATCCATGTTCTAGTATATGTCGGTTACTCATTCCTTTTTATGACTGAGTGACACGCCACTGTATTACCCCCCATTTTATTTATCTATTTGCCAGTTGATTGAAATTTCTGTTGTTTCCACTATTTGGTGTAGCAGAAGTCCTCTGATGGCCTTGGTGACCCAACTCTTTCCCTTTCTTGCTTCTAGTCCTTTGAATACAGACTGTACTATAAATGCAGCATCTTGAGAGAAGGAGGAACTGGCCACATCAGCCTGAACTCTGTCATTTTTCCTTTTCGAATAGAATGTCCGAAAACTCTTTAGCTTAGAGTTTCAAGTTGCTCCCTTGTATAAAGCACCAGACAGAGCATGGTTTCAGGGTTCTCAGCTGTATTGCAATGTAAGTCACACACAGGTAAGATTCCACTCATCTTGGGCCTTGGTAGACCTATCTGCCATGAATCCTAGGCTTTTATTATCTGTTACTGCATGTGTGTGAATAATAACTTAACTGTGGTGTAGTCACTTAACTGTGCCTCAGCGTCTTGTGCATATGGATTAACACTAGTGTGTGGTATTGGTGAAGTGTTTTGAGTTCTCCACTGGGACTGATACTGGTGCACAGTGAAACTTGATTCATACTTGGCTTCTATGAATAGTGACACTATGAACATGTACATGTAAGTCTTTGTGTGGATATATGTTCTCATCTGCTTCATACATACTCACTTTTCACAATTCGATCAGCATCCTATTCATTCAGATGGAGATGTCCTCGAAGTAGACTGTTCACAACCTCTGTTGAGTCATGTTTTATGCCCAACAGCAACACTGGAGGCCTTGGTCCTTCCCAAGATCTCTCTCTAGCTTTTGTGCCATGGATCAAATGTCCTTAAAGCTTTTGTATTTTAGTACAGTGAGGTCCCACACACAGATATGGAACAAAGGCGGGAAAAGGAACCCTGGCCTTCTCTCCAGTATACATATAACTCACTTTGGAAGATGTCCTTTCAGATCACAATTGTCTATTTCTCTAGATTAGTAGGTTATAGATATTCCAGCAGCTATGCAGAACACAACTTTTCTTTCTCTAGTAGGACAAAATGGTAGTGAGGGATGCACATACCACTTTGAAAAATTCTAAAAGATTCCAGAGTAAAATCCCAGTATTATCGGTAACTTTATGTGTTTTAAATATAGAGAACACTTTTCTTTGTACTTTTTGTACTTCTCCACATTTCATACCAGAGGAGCATGTGGTCTTTTGGTATTTTTAAGAAAACTTGTAGCAAAATGGCTTTTATTAGACTATAAATGTAACTCGCTTTTCCAAACTTACTGTGTAAGGCTTTATCCTGTAGATGAGCATCATTTCTGAGTACTCACACACCTAACAAATGGCTTCTCGCATGGCTTCTGCCTCTCTCTCTCTTCCTCTCTTTTAAATGTTAAATGTGATCCCTCACATAGTAGGAAGACCTCTAAATACAGAGGTATAGAGCCTGGTTTTAAATTTTGGCTCTGCCATTTAAAAGCTACGGGGCTGTTACAATTTGACAATGATCCCTCCCGCCGCGGTGCGTGCGGTCCAGGCGTGGCCTCCAGGGTGGTGCTACTCCAGGCGGAGGAATACCCGGAAGGGTACCTAGATCGCTGGACATGCGTGCAGTCCCCTGTGTGAGAATCCAGCCAGGCCAGTCTCCTGTCCCTCACTCTGCTCCCTCACTCATGTGGTGCCTGGACTGCTCGGCCACACGTTCTTGCCATGATGTTTTGTCCCATCAGAGGCCCAAAGACACGGAGCTACTCAGTCAAGTGCAAGAACCCCAGGACCGTGAATCTAAATCAGCATTTCCCCCTTGTAAGATACGATTGATGATATTTCATTATACTAACAGTAGACGGATGAATACAGTGAATGTGGGTAAATCATAGCCTATTCAGACCCCGTTTTCTTATATATACCTCAGGTAGATTTTACCAAGGATCCACTGTGGCATCGTAAAGGGAAGTGCTTTGTAAATCATGAACGACTAACAAGTGTCAGAGCAGATTCACCGCCGCGGTGGACACTGCATTAACAGAACATTCTGAATCAACACACGCAGATGCAACGCAGAAGAGTCATGTACAGATTTCCTCTCTCTGGCTCAAAACCCGTCAATGCAGCAGACTCACCCATGGGATGAACAAAGACAAGTGGGCACGTTACCTTTTTGTTTCTCGGACTGATTCCTCAGTGGTTTCCTTGTACTCTGGAACACTGTGATTCAGATCCATGCATACTTTGCCAACAAATGCCCGTTGACCAAATTTATCTGTGAAACACACACAAAAACAATCTGTAGGAATTTTTCTTTTCCAAAATGGACTTTTCTGAGCCTTTTAGAAATACTTTAAGTTAAAATAATTATGAAAGATGCAAGGGTAAAGGAGCTTTCAGCACCACACCCCTCCGGAATAATGACAACCACTGAATCCAGTAAGCTGTAGAGGTGTTTGTAAGTACTGCACATCCCCATTCCACAGTAAGGGATCACTGGGTGTACTGTGCCTTCTAATTAGATTTTCCCTTTGTTTATACAGTTTGTCTATATTTTTACCAGTGTCAACTTCTTTGCTCTCATTGTACCACACAGTGAAGAGGGAACAGCCTCAGATCCTAGGGAAACACTCTACTATTTTTGGCATAACTACACCCTATCTCTTCTCTTTTTCCCCCTTCTCTTCCTCCGCTACTCATAATCTCCCCACTGTCAACCACTGCATTTCCATGCCTTGGATTGGGTGTCTGTGTATACACTGTCCTCTCCTTGATGAAACACAGCATGGGAAAGCGTTGAGAATGTGAGGGATTCAGTGTGACACACCTGGATTCGATACCTTACCTCTCTGGTTAATTCCTAGGATGGAAGATGCCGTTTGCTCAGGATCTAGAACTGTATGTTCCCACTGTCCTCTGCCAAATGCAGGGTTATGAGGAATATACCCAATTAGGCTCTGGTTATACTGCTCGGGTGCCATACTGCTACTCTCCTTACTTGTCGCCATATCAGTAGCATTACCTTTGGGGAATTTTACTTAATATCACTAGCAGCTCTGAGCATTAATGAACCTAGTACTCACCTGAGGTGCTGGAAGAATTCTATTTCAGCAAGAAAGTTGAAAGTACACAAGGCAATGTTGTTTTTACGAAGTTCCCACTGCTATTATACAAGTGCTTTAAAATGTTTTCTGCCATTCGCTTTCTGATGTAATTTAGTTTAACATTGGGCCATTAGACTATTCTCCCTTACAATGTCACTTTCATCATATCATTCACTTGGCCTAAAATCTTGCTATCATTTCTGAGGCTTATTCAAGGCCTTCCATAATCTGAACCGTCCCACCTGCCCGACATCCTCAACCACCCCAACATGCAAACTTCTCCGTTAAACTACCATTTCCTGCTTCCTGTATCCACCGCTGACACCCTTGTTCACACACCTGTGCCCATCTCACTGCAGATGTTTAGGAGATTTAGTCTCTCCCCAGTTTTGTTTTCTCCAAAACCCAGTTTAAAGGTCCTTTCTAGGAAACCTTCACAGATGACCTAGCTGGGTTTTCTTTGCCTCCTTTGATCACTATAATAATCACTTTCAGGATTACCTTGGCCAACAGCAGTGTCTTAAGTGCATCAGTCAAGAGCATTTACTAAGTGCTTGCTCCATGCCAGACACTGTAGTGGGCACAAGGTTTCATAATCATCAACCTAAATTCAGTCTCACTGTGGGTTACTAGCTATTCCACCTTGGGCTATGCTTGATCCAATGTTGGGCATCTAGTAACAGCACCAGAAATGTTACTAAAATGATTAAGCAAGTGATACAAGTGTTCTGTCTGGCTCTTCAAGGGCAGAGACTATCTTGTTTCATCCTCTTCCCAGCATCAAGCACTCTGCCCTGAGTCTAGCCAAGAGACTGTTGCCACAGGGAGAATTAATAAACCTACCCTAAAAAGCTCTAAATTAGTACGCAAAATTCAGATCCATAAACATTATGCTGGAACTAGAAACCATAAGTAAATAATCAAATTACTTAATAAAAAAAATTCAAGGACCACAGTTATACAGATACCTAATGACGTGCAAAAACTTCTGTGTTCCAGTTCTAGTAATTAAAAGGCAAGACTGCCGACCAAGCAGAAGTCATTGTCAGGCCTCGGCTGACTGTCTTTGCTTGTTGTGTGCATAAATCCTGCTTTCATCTGCTCACCTGTAATTTCTGCAAGGAGCAGTGATGCATCCGTGTGAATTGTTCCAAAGTAGCAAGCTGTGGTTGTTCCATTCTTTAATGTTCTTCTCTAAAAATAAATCACAAAAAACCTGAATTACATGTGCTCAGAAAAGTCACATGGCATTTACAAGCTGAAAATAGAATTCTAGTTTTTAATTTTCAAATGCTTTTATTTAAAAGTATGCCATCTTGATGTGAAATATATTTAAGTAAATGGCAAAAGTATTTATATTCCCAGCTGAAGAAGTTCATAATTTTGATTTCCTAGAGTCACATAGTTCTATGTTTCAGAAGTCACAAATGTGATACTAATTCTGTATTTCTTAGGATTGTTTGAGGATATCCAAATTTTATTGCATGTAGGAGTATAATATGAGATTTTTCTAACATTAACAGAGTAAAATTATTCAGCCCAACTTCTAATTCCACCTGGAAAATTGGTCACATGTATCTATCTTTTTGGTTTAGCAATTTTTACTAAAAAATAGTGAAGAAGTACAAAATGCATTCACTCACAATAAGAACATGAGACAGGAACAGGGGAAACATTTCAATGTCTTCTTAGAAGACAAAGAACATGGATAAGAACCTGGAAACAACTTTAGGAAGAGGGTGAGAGGCATAAAAGTGCTAGCAGGGAACTGGCTGCAAGTCTTTGTGCAGATAAATAAAGCCTGGCAAGATCCTTCTCCTCCGTGTTGAAATCACTCAATCAACTCCTAACCTGTTCCTTGCAGAAAGATACTCTCTGTAGAAACTGGATGGTATTTATAGGATAAATCTCCCCAAAACAAGGTGAAGGGGTTAAGGTAAAAATTTGGCTGACCTCCAGGGTCCCTGGTCATCTTATCCAGAATACCACATGCATTACTCCCACTTCTCCTGAAAAGGGCCCAAAGGATTCTTTTCCAGAGAAAAAGATTTAAAAGAACAATGTCCCCACAGTGACACTTAGGGCCTGTTCACTGCTCCCACAGGTCATTTCATAATGATGTTCACCAGTCAGCACATGCTAGCTCTACCCAAATCTTCCTATTGGCATTTTAGGGGATCACATTTAAATATAAATGTATGGCCAAAGTTCAACAGATATTGGAGGAAAGCTACTATGAAAAGGAGAGGGAGTGTGAGAGAGAATGTAAACAATTTTTTTGAGGAAAGAGATGATCTATAAAGTCAAAAGAAAGGTCAGTTAAAAAACCATAATTAACATCTTCAAAGAGATATAATCAGATGTGAGTTCCCAAAATGAGAACAAAATGTTTAAGAACAGAATGCTAATTTTAAAAAATCAGAGAGCAAGAATGTAAAGCATATTATACATGATATCTGGAAGCCAGTAGGATTGAAAGATGAATCAGAAGAGAATCTCTTAGGAAGTGGGGAACAAAAATGTAAAAATGATTCAAGCCATGAGGTCGAACATTTAGACTAAGAGTTCTAAAACAATTATTGAAGTAAATGAAGGGGTGAAATTATCTGAGATATAGTAATCTCCAAAATGAAAATCCTCACAGCACCATGAATAAAAAGCAGAGCCCAAATAAGGCATGTAATTGTGAGCTATTAAGTTTATAAGTTAAAATAAAAAAAGAACCCATAAGCTTCCAGAAAAAGAAAACCAGTCATAGAGAAAGAAGAGAAATCACAACGACACTGAAGTTTTCATCAACAATGCTAGAGGCAGAGGAACAATGCCTTCACAGTTCTGGAGAGGTTATTTTTAATGTAGAATTTTATGGCTTGGTAAATTATCAGTCAAGCATTAAGACAGAGTACAGAGATAATTAGCTATTCCAAGACTTAAAACTTTTACCCCCATGAATGCTCTCCTAAGAAGCCCTTAGAAGATGCATTTTAGCAAAATGAGAGAGTGATACAAAGAAAAGGAATTCCCAGAGCCAAGAAATGAAGATCATAACCGTGAGAGAGGCAAAGAGAATGGCCACATTACAGTAGTATCAGAAAGTATCCCAATCAGAATGATGTAAGATACAGGTAGGCGGTGGGAAGGTCTTTAAAAAGAAAATGGAACCGATACTGCCTGATGGCCGGAGCTCTTGGGCAAGGACAGGTTGACCAGAGTGCTTTGGGTTATGTCTTTAGCAGATGTCTTGAAAGTGTGGGAGAATATTCTCCAGACTGGGTTCTTGCTTGCTTTTTGCTTAGTATTAGCTATCTGACCTTTATTTTCTCTACATCAGTTTCCTCCTTTGTGAACTAAAAGGGCTTTCTTGCGTAGCACATGGGTCAGAGCTCAAATGTCAGCAGGAGTTACACAGTTTGGACTTCAGATATCAGGGAAGGACATGGCCCATATGGGGAGGTGCTACTTGCCTACAGTCAGTTAGTAGAGAGCCCAGTAATGTCAGTTAGTCCTAAAGGTCAAAAAACTTTGGAAATCTGGATTTTCATGACAACCTTTCCAAATTTTAAGACATTTTGCCCACAAAATAAAATATATCTGCCTGCCAGTAGAGAATATTTAGAATCTGTGTGCTTTAGACCAAGATCTGCTCTCCACGAGAATCATGACTCAAGATGAAAAGCTAATATCATGACAGAATTTAATGTCCAGCAACCAGAAAAAGATCTGCATTCTAGCATGTGCTCAGTACGTATCTGCTGAATGAACACCTAAGAAAGCAGAACTACTAAAACAACAAGACACATAAAGTGAACTAATACTATCCTCGGGTGAATAGAGTAGAAGTGTTTCCTCAGGAAAGAATGGTGTGTCCTAACAGTAAGTGAATTAATGATTTTAAAAACTGGGCTATGACATTGTCTAAGCATGTAACAAGAAAGAAAACTCAGAGATATGAAAGTAGATTGAGAAACACCAACATCTTTTTCATAGCACTTACCAAAAGAAAGAGCTAATTAGAGGAAAGAATACACCAAATGAGAGACAGATACAAAGGGAGGAAAGAGAGATACACAAAGAGAAAGAGGAAACAGAGAGAGGCAAAGAGAAGTACATTCCCCAGAACAGAAGACAAGAGCTCTCTTACTGAAAGAAGAAGTACTCATTGAAGAGAATGAATTGATGGGGCTGGGGATTTAGCTCAGTGGTTCTGACACCTGCCTTGCAAGTGCAAGGACCCAAGTTCTATCCCTGGTACCTGGTACCAAAAAAAAAAAAAAAAAAAAAAAAAACCAGAGAAAAAAAGGAGCTAAGAAGGGGGGGGGAGTATCAGCAATAAATGTAGCCTCCGTTTACTCTAAAATGGATGCTTGTGACAACCATGATGATTCTTCATCTGGGGCTTCTATTGAGAAATAGTACACATCTTTCTTATAAACACCTAAGACAAAGCTTTTGTGTATGGTAGAGATGGGATTGTTCTAAAACAATAAAATCAAAACCACACTGAGATGTCTCACATCTATTAAGATGAGCATTGTGTATATATACATATAAAAACAATAACAAGTGCTAGGAAGCTTATGGAGGAAAGTAATTTCTTCTATACTGTTATTCAAAATTCAAATTAGGGCAGCCCCTCTGGAAAACAGTATGGAAGTTCCCTAAAAATTAAATGCAGAACTATGCAATGACCTACTAATTCCACTGTTGAGAATACAACGAAAGGAAATGTCACCTACATAAGATCTCCATGAGACATCTATACTCCCACGTTCACTGCAGCATTATTCTCAATAGTCAAGTAGTGGAGTCAACCCGAGTGCCCATCAACAGATGAATTATTTCAAAAGTTGTGGTATTTATGCACAATGGAATGGTAGTCAAAAAAAAGAAATCTTGCCATGCTATGTGAAATAAGAGACCTGAAGTATAAATATAACATAAATGAAACAGTCAAATTCACAGTGCATTGCATAGACTGGTGGTCACCATGGGCTGAGGGCAGGGGTATAGAGGGAACTGTTGAGTACAAGGTGTAAAGCATCAGTGACACTAGATGGTTACATTCCAAAAATCGAATGCACAGCACATCACCCACACTGAACAGTACTATAGTTCAAATTTGTAGTAAAAAAGGTAGCTTTTATGTTTAATGTTCTTACCAACAAAGGGAAATGCAAAACAATCAAAGGGGGTCAGAGGAAACCTTTGGAGCTGATGCAATCCATAGTTATGACTTTGACTGCAGTGTTGGCCTCATGGTGCTGTACTTAGTTCTCTATACATCAATTATGTATAGTTTTTTCCTCTGTCACTCACACTTTGATAAAGTGGTTAAATAAAAAGAATGAAGAGGAAATCCTGCAAACCAATGAATTAGCCAGAAGAGAATAAAATCAGATAGATATCACCACATTGGGTGGTGGTAGGTAAATAATTTCAAATATAGGTATTTTATCAGCTAAACATCATTTAGATTAAGAAAAGTAAAACCATTTTTGGCAACTCGAGATTTGAAATGCCTTATCATCCACCTTATTGGAAAGGATTATCAGAAACTATGTCCTAACAAATGAAAAATGATCCAAGGATCCAAGTAGCAAAAGAAAATCTTGTTGTTAAATTCAGTGTAGATATTAATAAATAGTGAACTGGAATTAAAACTAAAAAGAACTTTTTAGCTAAATTTGAAAGTTGAAACATTCTGGCCTACAGTTCAACTTCTTACCCACTATACCATACTTCCTTTTACTAAAAATTAAAACATTTTGCTGGGCCAGATGGTGCAGGCCTATAATCCCAGCACTTGGGAGGCTGAGGCAGGAGGATTGCCTTGAGTTCAAGGTCAGCCTAGGCTACAGTGAGTTCAAGACGAGCCTGAACTACATAGTAAGACCCTGTCTCTAAATAAATAAATATAAATAAACAAATGTTAAAACATTTTAAATAAGTGTAAGTAGTACAGAAAAATAAACGAACTAAATTTGAGATGATATAACAGGACATGGCAAAGTAGGTAGGGAAGAGAAGGAAAGAGTAGCAAAGCTTCTTGTCTTATTATATGGGAGAATATAAAGGAGATTGATAGAAGAAAATTATTTTTAACAAATTAATCTCAGATATGAAAATGTCTATCAACAGAGAAAATATTTACTGCTAAAATCTGCAGAATAATCATAAAAATTAAGCTCTTATTAGGTTACAAAGTAAATCTCAAGTATTCCCAAGAAAAATAAACACACAAGTTATCTTCACTAACCAGAATAAAATAAAACTCAGAAGAATAAGAAGAAACAGAAGAATAATTACATTTTTCTAAATTCTCAAAAATCTAAGCACTTTTCTAAAAGCCTGCTTGGAAGATGAAGTCAACATTTAACAACTTCCTAGCAGTGGAGACAGTGATCATCTACAGATACTGGGCAGTAAGTCCCTGACTTGGGGTCAGATTTGAGACTAGGAGTGTATGGGTTAAGGGGAGAGAAACCAACAGGATGAGAAACTATAGTTTTAAATCAGATGGGAATGAACTAAAAATACTAGAAAGGCTATGAATCTCCCCAAATTATAGTCAAAGGGCAAGACAGGGAGAGTCCCCTGGGAAGGAAAGAAGAAAAGAAGGGAGGGGGAAGAGAGAGGAGGAGAGAGGGGAAAAAACCCAAAGCTACTCTTGTTCATCCCCTCTGAGCTCAGCTTATTTCATGAACCAGCCACACAGCTGTTATTTATGCAACTTTAAAAAATAAGAAAATCATCCGCATCCAGCTTTGTGTTTAGGTTTCCCAGGCCTCAGTTCCACATCGGTTTCTCGCGAGTTTTTAACAACTATTGCAGTTTTCCCATTCGTAAGGAAATATGTCAAGAACTAAGTGTTGGCTATACTCCTAACCTTCTCTTAGCCACCAATTCTTGACAGAAAGAGTTTTGAGACTGAGTTTTATGAGCTCAAGGAAATTCCAAATTTAATATGACCATGAACTTTAAAGCTAATTTCCGGAGGTGAGAGGAAGCGGTCTGAATCCCTTTGCTTTCATTTTGTATTTTAACAACTTGCTATATCTGATATTAGTTGGATTTCTCCTTCTCTGCCCGATTGTTGAAAACCCCACAAAGTAGTTTCATTCTATTACTATACAGTATTTGCAACTGTTTTGCCTTGGTACATTCACTGAGAAGCTTATGTTTTTGTCCCTTAATTATAATTTGGGCAGATTTCAGAACTTTCTGTTCTTTGTAGTTCCTTTCAGTCCCACTTGAAACTGTAATGTCTTGCTCAGTTTGCAGTGTTTAAAAGAAGACCTTCCAGGTTTGGCTTACTGAGATTTTTTTCCTTAATAATCAAAGTAAATTTTTGCTAATTTAAATTTTAAATGACCTGCAGAATAATTTATCACTGCCATAACCTATGGAGGAAATTTACTGAAGTAAGTCTATGAATGTATTCCAGAGGAGAAAATAAAAAGCAAAAAATTTCTTCATTTTATTGCTGGATACTTCCTTGGTTTTTTTGTTTGTTTGTTTGTTTGTTTTTTGCATTGCCCAGAGAGAGGTTCTAGTGAGTAAAACTCAACTTTCCTAAACAGATCTCAACCATACTCTAAGCTCATCCAAAATATAAGACTTCTCATATTCTGAAAATAGTATCCATGAATGCAATATTTATTAGTAATAAAACCTACTTTTTACTCACTGATATCAAATACTTAAATCTCTGGTACTTATGGATTACTGCCTGAAGGATATGTAGTCCTTGATACTCTATCTTTCTAAACATAAAAGTCTGATCTAGCCAACCTTTTTAATACTATAGCATCTTTACAATAAGTATTTTGAAAATATAACACCCATCCACATTAAGGAAGACTGGGATTAATTTTCTTACATTTTAGTAAGAGGAACAGATTTCATTTGACAAATGTGGATTTAAAACATCATGTACAGAGTATAAATTTCCTAATTGATTTCCCTATCTGGACCAGCTAATATAAATTTGTAGCCAAATTTGTGACAAACTCTAACAGGTGTATGTGAGAACCCCCGTGATATGGGTTCACTTCTTGATTTAATTCTATTTATCCCACTTCCCTTTTGTTCTTTGCTGTGATTTGATGACTCATTTTCTTTTGTTATATACTATGCAATTTTAAGCTATCTCAAGCCCTTTTTAGAACAACATGAAGTATAAATAAATCTTGAGAATAAATATTTGGTGTGGTTTATACAATGTACCAGTAACTTCATATACAGCTTTGAGGCTTTCTGTTTTTGTGGTGTCATGTGGAGGCATGCTAAATATACATGTAAGGCCCACCATTACAATGAATTTCTAAGTAAGCAAGACGAATGTATAAATGTTACCACTCGCTTCTATTTTTTAAATTTGGAATGATGCAAGACCAGGGAAAGTGGCAGGATGACTAAACCAGTTGATGCAGAAGGCTTTGTAACATTCTCAAAATCTTAGAAGAAAAACTATCAAGTGGATCCAAAACAATCCAAGAGTGTACTGAATGGCAGGCGGCAGTGGTCAGAGGAAAAGGCATCTGAAGCTCTGACTTCTTTAATGCAGAAGTATGAAGAAAGGAAGGAAGTTCTTGAAAGAGCAGAGGGAAGAACCTTCAGGTGGTATGTAGTTCCAGCCACTGCTCACTGCTGGAACCGGCCCCAGCGTTCCCTCTAGTGGCATTCACGCTCAAGAATGTGCATTTCATTTTCCCCTCATGGCAAACCTGCGAAAATAACAAATACTCTTCTACCAGTAATTTGAAATTTCAATTTCTTATTTCCTTGAATATTCTTAAGAAAACACATACCGCACTTACCACGTGCTAAGCACCTTTTGAAAAGTTCACAAATATTGACTTGCTGAATTATCGTAACAATCCTATGAAGTAGGTAGTATAATTACCTGTATTTTTTACAGATAGGGAAAATGAGTCAGAGAACTTCCCCAAAGGTCACACAGCTATTCTATATGGTCTTCAAAACAGCATTACAAATCGGTAGGAAGGAAATACACATATTCATTCAACTCAAATTTATATGTAAAAGAGAGTAATAGCACACATATTAGAGGTTTAGTAATTTAGACTCAAATTCTCTCTCTCTGCCACTGATTGGGTATGTAGGTGAGGGGGGCACAAAATCACTGAATTGTGATAAAACTAAAAATTAGTCTAGCACTCTGAGAGGCCAAAGAAAAGGACTGCAATGAGGCCCAGCTTGGGCAGCCTACTGACTAAGCAAGACCGTGTTTCGAAAGAAACATAAAAAAGGGGTACGGATATGCAGCACAGTGCAAACGCCCTGGGTTTTAGTCTCCAGCACTACAAAACAAACAAAAACTGTCACGGTCTTTCCAAGCCTTCACTGCTGATGCTGTGTAACTTAAATCTGGCCCTGGAAATGGACGTTTGGACAAAGGACCAAGCATGAGACAATACTTACATACAGGATACTTACAACAACTCTAGTGTAGACCTCCTCAGCGAGCATGATGTTCTGGAATTTCTGCTCTGTAGGAAATGTGTAGATCTTCAGCCACTCCAAAAGCGGCAGGTCTACATTACTTCCGGCAAAGGCATACTGAGGGGCATGGATGTGTGTATCCACCAGCCCAGGTATGAAGAACTCACTGGAAATTAACGCGAGAAAAAGCATTTAATAACACCTTTAGTCACTTTCTATTATCTTTAAAATTATATATTCTCTTGACAGGGATTTAATTGAGCCCCACACCAGTTTATAGCAATCTAACAACAGTGAACGTTCCGGTTATCAAGAGATCTGGAAATAAGAATGACGCTCTGCTAGGAAAGAGAGTGCTTCTGTGATGAAATGGTAGGTGTGAGGATAACTAGAGACAGTAAAGGGAGGGAAAAGAGCAACACCAAGCAGAAGCAAAGCAGGTGCAACACAAGAACAGAGGGAAGGCACGACCTTATCCTATGACTCTGGTCTCACAACTGGGGGCTGTAAGACAGCAAAGATGGGAGAGGATGTCTGAAAAATTCTAGGGCTGGGCTGTGGAAGGTACATGTGAGTCATCAAGAGTGGTTGAAGATGAGAAACAAAGTAGCTACAAATTTGGTTCCACCTTCATCTTGATCTTGGCTGACTGCAAGGTATCTAGTCTTTCCCCTCAAGCCCAAGGTACTATTTCTGAAAAAGAAGCAGCAAGAACAAGCTGGGCTGGCTAGGGACAGGTGATCCGAGGAGATCGGAACATAAATGGGTCATCGGTAAGAACAGTGAAGTGAAGAGGGAGTTTCTGTGTGGCGACTGCCATTCTCTGAAAGTTTCTCATCGCTCCTGCTGCTAGCCTCACTCATCAGTCAGTATTTACATACAGTTCTCCTACAGAGCTAGGCCAGTTCTCCAGTGTCTAGTAAATATCTAAACTCATCCAAACAGCTGTTAAAAGGTGGCATGCAACCATCCTCAGAAAAGTCTGCAAGCAGTGACTCTAAATGCCCTTTGTTCTTCAACATAGTTTCTTATGAAAATCCAGGAAGAAGGAAGAACATCAACACCAGAAGGTACTGTGTTAATTTTCATGCTTATTCCCCACACTCTTCGGAGCTACCGAGCGGCAGTGGCAAGAAGGAAGGCATCGTCACTGTGAGTACAAATACAAGGGCAATGAGACTGCACGAGCAGTCAGCTGGCTCCCCAGACTCTCACTAGAGACCAGCGCAGTAGCCAGCATGAGCTCAAAGAAGGGAAGAGGCCTGCTTCACACCTAACAAATGCGAAACTACAGCATAAGGTGTTTCAAAGTAGGTGTTTCAATTCCCAGTTCAATACAGCTCTTGCTACACTATCCTAAAGACAATTTCCAAGTAATGAAAGTGTTTTCTGAGTGAAAATAGTACTTCTTTTTGGAAACATAGTTGACCTGAAACAGGATAAAATATTTAAGATATTCGAACAGAATACAAGTATCTTCATGCTGGGGATTGCTAGGCAAGTGCTCTACCACTGAGCCCTACATCCCCAGGCCTCTTTACTTTATTTTGATGCAGTGACTGGCTATGTTGCCCAGACTGGCCATGCACTTGTGATCCTCCTGACTCAACCTTCCCAGTAGCTATGATAACAAGTGTCACCACACCTCGCCAAGCAGCCCCATGTCTAGAAAACAAATCAACCAGGTTATAAAGGCATTGCCCCAACCACAGGAGACACATTTTACCCAAATATTAAAAGTCACTAAAATTGCACCTCAAATGCACTTCTCCATATAGGTCTTCTCTAAGCATTTGTCAGAGGAATTTTTCTCCAACTCCATATGCTAATAGCTTATCTGTCATTTCTCTCCTCTTCCCCATTTACTTCCTTTTTGGAAGACAGCACACTGTGCCATGGTCGTGCTTATATCTGTTTGCATAGGGGTGTGAACTCTGTGAGGCCCAGCTAGCTGCATGTAGGTAGGCTCAAGAGCTATTTGCCAAAGAAATATATGAATACGGCAACTTCTGGCTCTCAAAGTTCTGTCCTTTAAATTGCTGTTCTCTTCATTCTCCTCCCTGTCACCCCCATTAAATAGCTAATTAATGGAAAGCTCCTCCACCTCTCAAGGTAGCTTTCTGGTCATTTGAGCCCCGTCAATGGTACCCAGCAAAAGAGAGGACGCTGGTGACTTACTGGTGGCTCAGCTCTTTCACATCACTTGATTTAAAGCCCCATTCTTTGGCAAGTTTTTCTTGCTGGCATGCTTCTTCTAAAAACTCTATCTTTAAGAGAAAGAAAGAAAAGAATCACACATTAATGAATCATAAGTTATTTGTTGTCATTAAATATACACATCTTTTACAGGGAGACTATACTGCTGCTGAGTTGATTTTAAAAGGTATTTGATTCTGCCGCCTTCCTCGCAAGTGCAAGGACCCGAGTTAGATCCCCAGTACCAAAAAAAAAGGTATTTGATACCAAATGGAATTGACTTTAGAAGTTAAAGACAAGGATTTTCCTCTGGTCATCACAAACGCAAACTGTAATTTCTCCTTTGCTGCCATACTACATGACACATCAAAAATTCTAGGTTTTGAAAACAGCAAAATGGAACTGATAAAAGGAAAGAATGATTAAAGGTACCTTACCTTGAATGAAAAAAGGTATTTGTTGGCTGTTTTAAGAAACCCCAACCCCAGAGCACAGAAGTAATGTCACAGGGCAACTTCTAAGCACTAAATGTAGCCACCTGTACCAAGTGCCTGACAGTTGAGTGTTACTGTGAACTACATTGCCTTCTGGATGCTGGACATATTCTGCAAAGAGGTCTTCTGTGTTTTTCTAGCATCGTGTATAACAGACACTCACATGAGGTAAGAAAGGGATGATTCAAGTTAGGCTTGTGAAACCCAAGGACAAGAGCTGGGCAAGCATGGGTGGGTGATCTCTAAACTCTCTCTTGGTCTGCTATTCCCATCCGCCCTCTGGAGATGACATTAGACACATTTCACAGGGCCGCACAGCCATCAGCTTCCAGCAGGTGGTTAGTAGCCAGGCAAGGGTCAGGCTCTCCAAAAACTGACAGATTAAAGCCACCAGTCCCTTTTCCTACTGTTTTTCAATTTTTCCAGTCAACACCCAAATAGAATGCACTGGGCTCCTCACAAACATACCAGGGATACTGATTCATACCACTATCTTCATAAAGATCTGACAGCCTCCAGCCTGAACCAGACTCTCTACCACTTGCCACTTACAAAATCTTCACTGTGACCTCTTTTACTGCCCCTCCATAAGCAGCAAACTCCACTATGTCTACAATGTGCACTCTCACTGTCTCCTTGTCAAGAGTGGGGCTGTTCCCTGATGCCTTCTCAAACAGCAAGTTTTTTATATTTCAGGGTAAGGGAATGAGTTTGGGACCCTCTGTATTCCCCAAGGCCATTGCCAAATCATTTTCCTGCAGCTTCCTGTAGGCAAACAAATCTGATTCTCTCTTTCACTTTTTTTTTGTACCAGGGATAGAGCTCAGAACCTTGTGCTTTCGAGGCAGGTGGCAACACCAACTGAGCTAAATCCCCAGCCCCATCCTGATTCTTTAAGACGCTCCCTTTCTGTTTCAAGGGCGTCATTCCTCTCCCCATGGGTTCTTCTTTACCAGCCCTTCCCTCACTCTTCCACTCTGTTGATGCCTACCTCATACTTTCCACTCCAATCCTCTACCATTCCTAGGGTTTCAATTCTTTGAAGACCATGCTCAACTATTTCTGTGAATTCATTCTCAGTAATGTGTTCTGTTTCGTATCAGCCATAAAAACCACCATTAATGTGTTCATGACCCATAACTGTTCCACCTCCAAAGCCACAAAATCACATCTAGGACCATATTTTCTTCTCCTTCCTGTTGGTCACTGCAACCACTATAACCAATGCTCTTCCTGACAGAGCCCTCCCTTTACCTTCTCCTCCATCCACTTCTTCCCAGCCCTGTAGGCATCTTCTATTACCACTTTCCTTGCCCAGAGTAGATTCCACCACACACGATTTCAGATTCCCGTTGTCCTTTAATGTACACCCGCTTTCTCTGGTCTGAACATGAGCAGAAGTATTGGAGTGAGGTACACAACACAGTAGGTAGAATATCCATCAGCACCAAGCTCAAAAGCACTCTTACCCACTGCTGTGCCTGTCACCCTCTGACATTTCTCTAGCACTGTGGAGTTAACTGTCAATAAAACTGACAGGTGACTTAAGTGCTTACAAGCTGATCATGAATAGTTCTGATGATAGTTTATACATTTTTTGTCAAATAATTTAGGACTTCAAAAGATTGATGAACATCACTATAAAAAAACTTTGTATCCCCATTTACTTGGTCTTTAAAAAAAAATATTTCTTAACATCCCATCCACAGAAATGGAAAATGGAAAAATCATGCTGCTCCTATTTCATCCTAACAACAAATAGCACAAAATCACTGTGCTATTTACACGGCTGAAGGAAAAATAATAGCCTTTTACTTCACATGTAACAAATTATCTTTCAAAATTTATAGCTTACATTTTAAGATTTCCTTGGATTCTCAGGAAATTTTAAGTGTATAAATAATGTCCACAAAATTTTCTGCAGTGGCTGATCAATAAAAGGCTTTCAGGTGCAAAAACACTGCATTAGTTTAAAAACTTGGGAAGGAAAGTAGGTTAGAAATAGCAATTGAAGAAAAAAAAAGACTACGTAACATTTTAGAACATTAAAAATGGAGGAGGTTCACGGTATTTTTAAAAAATAGATTAAGGTGGATATCAGTTCACTATATCTTGCTTCCATAAGAATTATTTTAAAAATATAATTGATAGCTTAATTTCAACATTAGATAGATAGATAGATAGATAGATAGATAGATAGATAGATAGATAGATCTAAATTTTTCTGGACACTGTTGGCTTTCCGCATATTTAAATTTAATAAAAACCCACAAATATAAACTGTGCAAACCTAGAAAGATTTAAACGATTCCTTTAGAGAGCACAGTGGTAGCAGAGTGTGAAGAGTACTTCTCCAGCTTTGTTCCAGCCATCCACACTGCTGATTGTAAATCTCCCTCTTCTAGGTTTCTCACCCTACCAGTCCCTGAAGTGAGTTCCATGCATGTGCGGTAATGGAATGTTGCGAACAATCCCAAAGTCAGTCTTTCACAAACTGGCTAAATATAACTACACAGTGAATGATTAAAATTGACAGTAGAGATGTACATGGACTAAATGGAAAGTTATCCTTGATGGAGTTGAGCCTTTTTAAAAATGCAGGCCACTGGGTGTGATGGTTTCTACCTAGATGGCCCCTGAAGCCTCATACATGCACAGGTGGGGCCTGGGGTAGTGACTTGATCATGGGGGTGTTATGCTTATCAATGGATTATTCCACTACTGAGTTTACAGCTCAATTCGATGTTGGAAAGTGAAGCCAGGTTGGATGGAGAAGGTGGGTCTCTGGAGGGAGGGCCTGGAGGGTCTGTCTCCCTCCTCCCTCCCTTGATCCCTCTCTGCTTTCCACCACCACGCCCCACTGTCACACTGCCCTGCCTTGGAGCCAGCCAACTACGGACTGAACCTCTACAAACTGTAAGCCAAAATAAACCTTTTGAAGTTAGAGCTGTGTGTGTTGGGCAATGTGTCTCAGCAATAAGTAACTAAGACACTAGGTCAAGCGTATGGCATGATTACATTTTTGTTAAAGAAGGGTGTGTTTATTTGTTGAAATGGTGATATGTCTAAATATTACTACAGGTTATACTTTAGCTAGGCATAGGGGTACATGCCTGCAGTCCTAGAATTTGAGAGGCTGAGATGGGAGAACTGCTGCGAGTTCGAGGCTAGCCTAAACTACACAGTGAGTTCAAGGCCAACCCAAACTACGTAATGAGACCCTGCTTTAAAAAAAAAAAAAAAAAAGCTGGGTGTGGTGGTGTAAGCCTGTAATCCCAGCACTCAGGAGGCTGAGGCAAGAGGATCGCTGTGAGTTCGAGACCAGCCTGGACTACATAGTGAGTTCCAGATCAGTCTCAACTACATAGTGAGACCCTGTCTCAAAAAACCAAACTAAAACAAAACAAAACACAAAAAGCAAACAAACAAAACAAAAACAACAACAAAAATTGGTTATCTCTTTATAGAAGTTGGGAATTCTTTCTATTCAAAATTATTATACAAATGGCTTATTCTAGCCAGAATAAATATAATTTCATTTAAAATATATATGAAAGTATAAAATATAAAAGACAGAAGTACATAAGTCTAGTCTCTGTGCATGGAGCTTATGGCTGGAGAGTGAAGACATAAAGAAGAGGCATGAAAGCAAAAGGCTACAAGATGTGTTACAGATAAGAGTGTTCTATAAACGACACTGGTGTCTGAGAACACTAACTCATGAATCAAGTTGATTTTTTTCGCTCTTATTCATACATTCACTTATCAGATACTTCCTGTACAATAAATTGATAGGTGAATATAAGTTATGCTGCCTATGGTAGTAAGTGCTGTGATGAAAGATAAAGGGGAGTAAATACATGGACAAAAGGTGGGGTATGACAGTCTCCCCAAGAGATGCTGTTTGAGCACACACTGTCATGCAGTTGGGAGCTACTCTGGAAGGAGCATTCCAGGTAGAGGGAACATCTAGTGCAAGGGCCCCAAGATACAGACATGCCTGGCGTGTTTTGAATCCCCAGAGATGCCAGGGGCACACAGAGAATGTGAAACAGTGGTAGGAACCAGATGAAGAAGAAAGCCAGGGCTTGTAGTGTATAATGTAATATAAGGAAGAAATCCAAGGTTTACCTTAAGAAAATCTCTAAAATTTTTGAAAAACTAATGTAGCAAAATTATAAAATATGATTGAGGTTTTCTTCACGGGGCAATGGGTTTCTTCCTCCCAAGGTTTCCTGGACTCCTAAGCCGTGCACTCCCTCACTCACTCACTCATCACCCAGCGTGTGTCTGGCATGGCCCACGGATTTCTTCGCAGCACAGTCTCAGTCTGGGTGGGCTGACAAGCACACACGAAAGTCATTAAAATTCAATGTCGTGAAATCATGGATGGTTTCAGCTGGCAAGGACCTTCTCATCCAAACATCTTGTTTTTCAGATGAGGAAACTGAGCCCCTTCCGTGAAGCAAATAGCTCCAAGTACTTTCTTACTTGAAACTGGGACTCTTTAGGATGAGCAATAACAAGAATGTCAGGAATACTAAAGCCAAAGCAGATGAGTAACGACTGTTCACTAA